TGCAGACCAAGATGCTGAGCTCGAGGGTGACGCTGTTGCTGGACCGACGGTGATAGCTCATGTAGACTTGGCGAAGAAATCTGGTGAGTGGAGTAGTACATTTACCTGGCGTGCTTTTTACTTACAACAAATTTTTAGCAAAACGGATCTACGCAGACCTACTCGCAGATCAAATTGGTGAACTGGAACTCACCACTCACATTCAGCGATTTTTACATGACCAGCTCCATTGTTCTGACTCCAACTCAGAAGCCTCCGAGTCTGGCGCTGGCTCGTCCAGTGCCCTTCCCGAACTACATGAAAAAATAACTCTGTATACATCTGCCATTGCCACCTTCTTCGCTCCCAGTGATGTCTCAGGCATCGGCGGTATGCACTACGAGCGAATTAGTGCCGTGGATACCTGGAGGAACGGCCCTGGTCGATATGACTGTGTTTTCATTAGTACTGATCCCACTGTCGAGGGTATGCGTGGCTTCGATATCGCTCAAGTAAGGCTTTTCTTTTCATTTAAACACAATGGTGTACATTACCCTTGTGCATTTGTGCATTGGTTCAAACACGTGCACGACTCACCAGATGAGAACACAGGAATGTGGGTAGTAGAGCCTGAAACCCGCGAGGATGGGACACGATTTGCCTCCGTCATTCACCTTGACTGCATTTTTCGTGCGGCACACCTTATGCCTGTATTTGGGCATGAATTTGTACCTACTTATCTCTCTTACACACAGACCCTTGATGCTTTCCGCACTTACTATGTAAATAAATACATTGACCATCAGGCATTTGAGATTGCCTGGTGACTTGATACTGACTTATTCTTATTGGCTGGATAATGCTACCATTAGGACTACATATTATATACTTTGTCGGCTTAGGAAGTACTTCGCATAGCGCCTATTGACTTAGTTACATCGCAGCATGGTGTTGATTACTTATAAATAAACTTCTTACTTGAACACGCGTTTCTGCAGCCTCCGTGCTGAATTTTGGCCATTCATTACTTACTATTATTGTGTTTCCTTTGTGAACAATCCTCCAAGCAGAAATTAAGTTGAAATGATTTGCTTTGACAACTTAGTGAACTTAACGTCGAATTAAGTCTCTGTAAGTGAGGTAAGATGGCTAAGACTTTTTCCCTTTTTCCTGATGGGCCTGCAGACTCTAGCTTTACTTGTGCAATCGAACTCTACTTTGATCTTTGATACCAGACGTCCTTGTGACGCCGAGCATAACAAAAGGTCAAGTTACTTCTTTACCTAGTGCTGCCGCAGTCCAGTTCTGAACCTCGGTTCGAACCCGAACTTTTCCGAACCGGACTCAAGGTCCGGTCACAGGTCCAGCATGGCCCCTGGACCGAACCTCCAAACAGGTTCGGGGTTCGGGATTACCCAGAACTGGTTCGAACGCATCCGAACCTCTTCAAACTCATCTTTTGTCATCCTGCCGCGTCAACCATTGCCTGCGCTCAAAAATGAATAATGGTCCTACCTATCATATCCGAGATTGCAGCAACCACTTTGCGACAGGAAATTGACTCAGTTAATGATCAATCACTCCACCCGACATTCTTGCTACTGTTTGGCCTCCACAAGAAACACAGACGATGTATTCATTCACCCGCTTAGATCTGTTGTTCATGCGCTAACATTATCTTGCAGGATGTTGCCCCTCACAATCCACGCCTTGCTGATTTACTCAATGTATGTGGTCCCTTAAATCTTTCTTCTAGTCATTTATACCACTGCATCAATTGTCACAGTCCAACGCAACATGTCGTGCCGCGCGTCGAAACATAGCCACATCACCTTTCACGCCCCTTCCCCACCCGCTAAGACTATCTACAGAGAAGCCCACTATTTTTCGCTGTACCAAACATTCCGGCGCCAGCCTCACAATCGCCCATTATGCATGATCCGGAGCTCACCTGGTCAGGTATTCATGTCCACATTCATCCGGCCTATTCCGTCGACTCCCGTCCCTCCCGGACACCTAACGGATACGCAACCCGCGACGGATTCCCTCAATTGCCCCTTGTCCCTGTCCATCCATGTCCATCCATCCCCATTGGTGCGTCATTTCTCTCCTATTATCACTCTGATCAAGCAGCAGACTGTTTTACATGTACATTCCCATACATGAGGCCGCTTACCGTCCCTTACATATTATCGCGCTACGGACTCGCCTATACTACTGTCGCTTAAACGGATCCCGAGTTCTTACAGATTAAGATAAATAGTTGCGTCGTACTCTGCCAATATCACTTCCCTTTTGCTCCCTTGGATTTATATCTAAGTCCGTGTGATCAACAAAGTCCCCTTAGTCTTCCGTGTTGCAACGGACCTCTTCCCGCACCTCGGACTACTTCCGGTAGCTCGTTACCTCGAGACCTTGACACCTTGACACCTTGACACCTTGATCATCGTACCGCTAGATATCCGTTCCTTGCGAACTATCTTCCATCCGGACACTCCTTTCCCTTTCAACCGGACTTCACCTGCGTGTCCGCCGCTCAGATCTTAAGCCCGTCGGATTGATTCCTTCGCATTTATTGCGAAAGACTTCCTTCAGTAGCAATCCCCTTGGGACGAGCTATTACACTCGCACTCATACGGATCGGTAGTCTACTCTAACAGGCTACACTGGAATCACTTTCACTCAACTGGAGCCCACCGCGAGGGGATCATCTGACACCGTCGGCAAATTGCTTAGGCCCACTCCCGCGCGTCTCGCAAAGGAAAATCTTCGGCTCATACAGTTACACCAAGAAGACTTCTTCCACCAGACGGACTCAAACGTAGAAGAAGATACCGACGAAAGAACCATTACATTTGACTCCGGATTCATCATCCGCACCGGAAGAAGAAGAAAGAGACATTGTTGAAGATCCAAGGCTTCCCGGATCATTTAGTTTCCCCAACCGACCGACTATTTCTATTGACACTCCCTCTACCGAATCATCCCTTAGTTCTAACCCGACCCGTATCCACACTCCTACGCTCCCCGTTCCTGATATACCGACAAATTCATTAATACTTCCATCCCCCCGCACCCGTCTAGAAGCACTTCCGTCATCCGCTCCATCTCCTAAAAGAGTAGCCGCACCGTACCAGTTCCTTCCACCGCCTATACCGTTACCGGCCGCATCCTTCCAACCATCCGTTCCGACTATACCTTCAGTTATTCCAACCGCATCAAACATGTCCACTAACATTTTTAGAATGCCATTAAGGGGAACCGACGCCGCACCCAAATTCGACTGGCACCCCCGGAAAGCTTCTCGCATTCATTCGAGGATGTCAACCAGATATGTGACCACGGACAGGTAACCGGAGAAGCCCGCATTAAGGCGGCAATCCGATACGCACCCGCAGATGAAGCAGAAACATGGGAAATACTGGACGAAGCCGAAGCGGGACAGACGGACTGGGACAAGTTCGTCACGGCACTCAAAGCATTGTACCCCGGCTGTGAAGGTGATAGACGTTTCACTCGAGCTGACCTGCAGAACATTTCCGATGAACAGGCGCAGCAGTCCGATGAACTCTCAAGTCGACCTCGGAACCTACTACCGGAACTTTTTCAAGGTATCCAAATTCCTCATTAGCAAGAAGAAGCTCGCGGAACAAGAACGTAACCGTATGTTCCTGGACGGATTCCCCGCGGATATCAACGCCAAAATCCGTCATCGGTTAAGTATTCTATTGGTTGACAACCATCCCGACGAACCATACGAATTTGAACACGTTTACAAAGCAGCCATCTTTTTGTTACCAGGTACTGCGTCAGCCATCTCTCCGGCAGCATCAATCCCCGCGCCACGGAATAACTATCCGCCCAGGGCGCAACCCGTCCCTAGCCCTCAAGCACCCCCAGGTGTAGTTATCAAAAAGGAATTTGTAAGTCAGTCAGGCAGCGCGAACCGTGCCATTTCTGTGGGGAAACGACCCACTTCCTCCGTTTCTGCAGGGCCAAAGCGGAGTATATCCGTGATGGGAAGATCATAGAAGACCAAGGGCGGCTATGCATGCCAGACGGATCCGGTATTCCAGGATACAGAGAATACGGCACGTTCCAGGAAAGGATCGACCAAGCCCTACAATCAAGTCCGGCAACAGGCGCAAACGCCACGGTAATTGCAGGTCTATATTGCCGCGCGCAACCTCAGATCGAGATTGAAGAGGACATTGACGCATCCGCCTACCTACACACTCGACTATCCGAGGAAGAAGATGAGGACGATGAAGAGCTCCAGATCTTACAGCAAGCGGCATATAAGGCATGTCAGGCATTCGCTAACACCCGCGCCGAAAGATCCGCGCGCAAAGCCGATCCTAAAGGTAAAGCCGTCCGCTTTGACGGGGTACAAGCTCCAGCGCCGTCCAGGGCCAAGCCAGGATCACCAAAGTCCGTACCGACCAAAGAGATTGTCTCTCCTCAGGTAAAGGAATCCGCAACGAACAACGGACCCAACCCAGGAGCGGTGGTAAAACCAGCGACCACAGAAGCACCCGTGGCCTCATCATCTGCGAAACCCCCTAACTGCGGGTCCTCCTAAAGCACCTAGGTTCGCATTTCCGCTAGAAGACAAGGAAGCAGACAAACACGTAGTAAACCGGATGTTGGACGCCAGTATTAGTCTACCCGTCCGGGAGCTTATTGCCGTGTCACCGGATGTTCGCAAAGTCTTTCGGGAACTGACTACCACCAAACTGGGTTACTGACAGCTCTCATATCCGTCAATGAGCTATCCGCTGCTCCGGACGCAGGGCATTGGCTACAGAAGTACGACGACTGTCTTACACGGGCGGATGACGGACGTATTGTCGCGGATCACTTCGAAAGTCTACGATGTATCAAAGCTACCTTGGTAAGCGGCAAGATAATCACTTGTGTCCTTGATCAAGGCGCAGAGTGTATCGTCATGCCGAGGGAAGTATGGAAAGGATTAGGGGTCCCATTACGCTCGGACCATAAGCTGACAATGGAATCCGTTAACACCTCCAGGGACTCAACACTCGGAGTAATTGAAAACTTATCACTGGATTTCGGAATCGGACAAATGTGGTTCCAGATTCAAGTCGCGCAAGCAGCTAGTTTTGAATTACTACTCGGACGCCCGTTTTTCACGCTAACTAGTTGCCGCACGGAAGACCTTCCCAACGGAGACCAAGACTATCACGCTTACGGATCCCAACTCCAGCAAGGAAATCCGGATACCAACAGGAACCTTGGGTCAAGAAGTGCATCGGCTGCAGACATAATATCGAATGCAAGGAGCACCCAAAGCGGAAGGGTTTTTAGTAGTCGATGATTCGCAATGCATGCGAGGAGATTACAATGGACAACGGACGATTCCTCTTTCTCAGTTCCCAATGTACCTACGTTCCCAGATAACCCGTCTCGCGCTATCCGCGCACAAACCGCTTAACCTCATTACCATATTCCGAAGCGCAATTCTCCGCGCAATATACATACCTAGTCTCCACCCGTTCTCCTAATAACCCGGACAATACTAACGCATTCAACTCAGTTTACAGCTACAACTCATCTCGACACGCATTGGCCTATAAGCCGGTCGCAAAGAAAGTACGGACTGTCCAAACTTCCATGCCTGCGGAATACCGCGTTATCCGCCGCCTACCAGATGACCTGTTGGCCGGTATGCCAGAACTGCCTACTCACCCTCCCGAATTTGTTCCAGGTATCCGCTTCACTCAGGAACACGCTCACAAGCTCGACCTCGATCCGGCAAACTGGCTATGGCCGGAAGAACTGAAGCTCGTCTGTTGGCTCGTACGGACCCATGAACTTGCATTTGCTTGGGATGCGTCAGAAAGAGGCCGGCTCAATGAGACGTGTTTTCCGCCTTACAAAATCCCAACCATTCCGCATGTTCCGTGGTCACAACACAATATACCCATTCCGCCGGCAACCGTCAACGAAGTCATACAGGATTATCAAGGAGAAAATCGATTCCGGTGTATATGAACCGTCTACCGCAGCCTACCGTTCCCGGTGGTTCTGTGTTGTCAAGAAAGACGGGAAGTCGCTACGTTTAGTGCACTGACTTGCAGCCGCTCAATGCGGTGACCATCCGTGACGCATCGCTCCCCCCGTTCGTGGAACACTTGGCAGAATCCTTTGCCGGGTATGCAGTCTACGGAATGATGGATTTATATTCAGGATATGACCAGTGCGCACTTCACGAAGAATCCCGCGATCTCACCACCTTCGGCACACCACTCGGACCACACCGGCTCACAACGCTTCCTCAAGGGCACGCTAATGCGGTTCAAGTATACCAAGGAGATACGGTGTTTATCTTACAACATGAGATTCCTGATTTCACTTCCCCGTTCATCGACAATGTACCCGTCAAATCCGTTCGGACAAGGTACCAACATCCTGACGGCACATATGAAACCATTCTGGACAACCCTGACATCCGCCGCTTCATTTGGGAACACTGCATAGTTCTCAATCGGATATTGCAACGATTAGAGAATGTTGGAGCAACCAGTGTCCGCCACTAAATTCGTCTTAGCTGCCCCAACCGCAATCATTGTCGGACACAAATGTACCTTTGAAGGTCGTGTTCCGGAAGATTCCAAGATCCAGAAGATCCGTGATTGGCCGGAACCATGTAATGTTACGCAAGTCAGGGGATTCCTTGGCACGTGCGGTGTACTACGCATTTTCATCCGGAACTTCTCCAAGATCGCACGGCCGCTCATCAACCTGACAAAGAAAGACGCACCGTTCGAATTCGGACCGGAACAGCAAGAAGCCATGCAGACCCTGAAGGACTTGGTATTAGAGTCCCCCGCACTACGTCAGATCGACTACGAATGCGGACGGGAAGTCATCCTTGCCGTGGATACATCATCGGTAGCGGTCGGGTTCATACTACTCCAAATCGGCGAAGACGGCAAACGGTATCCGAACCGGTTTGGATCCATATCGCTCACGGAAGTCGAAAGCTGCTATTCTCAAGCGAAACTGGAGCTATACGGATTATTCCGCGCCCTCCGTGCCGTCCGTGTATTTATCTTTGGCGTCACCAACCTAACGGTTGAGGTCGACGCAAAGTACATCAAGGGTATGATCAACAATCCGGACCTCCAGCCGAATGCGACAATCAACCGATGGATCGCAGGTATACTGTTGTTCTCTTTTAGACTCGTACATGTATCCGCTGCGAAGCATACCGGTGTCGACGGACTCTCAAGGAGACCAGTTGCGGTAGATGATCCGGATGAGGATGACAACCATGAAGACTGGCTAGACCGGTCTTACTCCTTTTGCACGGAAATCCTGAACGATCGAGCTTACCGCATCTCCAGTGTCGCGAGTCTCATCGAACGCATACCGTATGAGCAGCCCGTTTCACTAACAGAAGCCCGTCCCCCAACACTTCTAGCATTCTTAGATTCTCCGGAAAGCCCCACGGACGAGATTGAAATACCTCGCTCTGAATCCGCAAAAGCAATGGACGCCCGAATCACGGAAATCAAACGCTTTCTAGAAACACGGGAAAGACCTACACCGTTCACGGACCGCGACTTCGAAGCATTTGTTACATCAGCAGCTAGATACTTTATCATGGACGGACACCTATGGAGACGGCATTCACACGGCAAACATCAGCTCGTGGTTCCAATAGGAAAATGGTTACGGATCCTCAAAGAAGCCCATGATGATCTTGGGCATAAAGGTATACTGACAATCCGGACCCGTCTCCTCTTACGATTTTGGTGGCCAATGATTATTGACGATATCAAATGGTACAACAGGACATGTCATGAATGTCAGATCCGGCAGACCCGCAAGCTGCACATCCCCCCGTCCGTCCCCATTCCGTACGGAATATTCCGGAAAGCACACCTTGACACGATGATGATGCCCAAAGCGGGCGGATTTGACCGATTAGTTCAAGCGCGCTGTGCCTTAACAGGATACCCCGAATGGCGGATGATACACCGCGAGACCGCAAAGATCTTAGCTGACTTTATATTCGAAGATATCCTATGCAGATGGGGTCCCATCACGGAAATCGTCACGGACAATGGAACCGCCTTCCGCGCAGCCGTCAACTTCCTCGCAGAAAAGTACGGTATCCACCCAATCCGGATCTCACCATACAATTCGCAAGCAAATGGTATAGTCGAGAGACGGCATCTCGATGTCCGGGAGGCCATCATGAAGTGTTGCGAGGGGGACGCATCCCGATGGTACCAAGTCACACATACGGTATTCTGGGCGGAACGGGTAACTATCCAACAATCAACCGGATTATCTCCGTACTTTATGGTCCACGGAGTCGAACCTATCTTTCTGTTAAGACCGTGTTCAACGGGTCGGACCGGAGGGGCTTAGCTTCAGCTCGTGCGCTGCGCTCTTTACCCGAGTACGTGCCCCTAATTTACAGGGGGTTGGATATCGTCGGCCGAAGGGTATAGACGGGCCGGACGAGAGAGAGAAGACTACCCGAGACTTCGTCCGGGTAGAAACTAACAAGGTACAGACTACCCGAAGGTAGAGGCGGAGGTATTCAGCCTTAGGGATATAATCCCGAGGCTCGGAGGATCGGACTAGGGAAATAATCCCAAGAGCCGAGAGGACACGAGGATTGAACAGAGTCTAAGTTAATATTCGAACTGAGGAAATACTACGGGTTACAAAGGGTTTATATACTGTAGTGTATCCGACGGGTTTCCGGCCGAAGCGCAGTCTTCGGATCAGAGGGCTATGTAGAAAATGTACTAACGGATATGAACTGCTGCGGACGATCGAGAATGGAGCCGGAGATTAAATGAAACAGGGGGGACAAGTTAAATGAAAGGAAAATGAATAGACTAACGGACGGATCAGAATGAACCCGGATATTAACTGTCAGAAGGATCCGGGCGTATAGGGGCATCAAGAAGCATATACAAATGGGGACACGGGGAAATGAATTCTAGAATGGAACCGAGAGAACGGACGGACCGGACCGGACGAGAAGCTTCAGGTACGGAATATGACACTTTCCGTTTGATTTAGCTGAAGCAACGTTCCTGGTTGCACTCCCGGACCAGGAACAATTCTCTACCGCAGATCTTATTGCATGGCGCGCCCGACAACTTCAGAAACGACAAGAAGACCTGGACGCAATCAAAGATAAGGTAGTCCAAGCTAGATACCGATCAGTCCGCAGATTTGAAGAACGGTACCGGAACTCAATCAAGGATTACGACTTTCCGTCCGGAACCTTGGTATTGGTACGGAACACCAGGATAGAGAAGGAGCTAAGTCGAAAGACGAAGCCACGATATCTCGGTCCTATGGTGGTACTCCGGCGGACCAAGGGCGGTTCATACCTTCTTGCAGAAATTGACGGATCCGTGTCCAAGCTGCGCTATGCGGCGTTCCGACTGACACCTTATTTTTCACGTAGCAGGACAAAGATATCGGTCACAAGCATTACCGGTATGGCGGATGAAGCATTGGATGACCTAGCAGCAGAAGAAGGTTGCGAGCCGGACGAAGAAGAATCCGATGTCGACACCAAGGATTAACCTCCCCCGCATACCATCGGACTCGTATATATATATACAGACACATATTCCGTATCTGTTTTACCCCGGGTTTCGTCCGGTGATCTCAACCGCACTCATTATTAACAGACACGCTCACAAAGCACAACAGACCGCATCATAATCCGTCCCGTAACATCGATCCTATATATATCTCCAAGACTCAGGCTACTTCAATTTCCAGTGCGTATAACGGACCAAGTACCTATATTTCACTTCACACGCGTGCCATACGCACCACGCTCCTTTGTTATCGGACTCACATCATGGGAATACGGGAAGGTACAGACGAGGGAAGCGCAACGAAGAACACAAGACGGACGGGAATCCGCAAAGTAAACCGTCTTTATTCACCTTCTTCCGCATCGCAAGCGCATGCTCAATTATTACTACTTATCTCACAGGCACTCAGTGGGGATCAGGACCGGACATGGACACGGACACGGACACGGACACTTCATTCACTAAAGCTACTTTGGCCTTCAAGCAATCTATAAGTACAAGTGATATAGGAACCGGGTATCTAAGTGCGGCGACGGTTAAGGCGGTATTCGATCAAATCAAGTCCATTAGCGACCTCCATCATCAGCACATTGGCTTGGTATGCCTTGGCGCGGAGACGACGGATCTCACCCCGGATAGTAACTTCCTCCTCCCCAAGGCCGGAGTTGGCCAGACTAGGGAACTCCTTGTCCGCACCACAAATTTCTTCTTCAACCTCATCCTCCTCGTCATCACTCTCCTCCACCTCCTTGCGCTTAGGAGAAGCAGGTGCCTTGGAAAGAATGGACTCGGCATCGCCATCGGAGTCGGAAAGAACGATGGGGGGTGAAACAGTAGACTTTGGGCGACGTATGGTACCGGAACGAGAGCTGGAGGGAATAGGAGGGGTAGGGGCGGCCTGCACACGGCGCTTCTTGCGGTTGGAGTGGGTGCAGCCGACCTTCAACTTCTTGCACCCGTTGCAAGCGACCCCGGGGAAGCCAAAACAGTCACGGTTGGTCTTAGTGCACTTGGCGCAGCGGGTTGCATGCTTGGGAGCTATGCCGGGTGTCTTTCTCTGAACAAGAAGGTCAGCAAGACATGCAGAGGAAACGGAAACACAAGCACGCACCTGTACCACAATCTCCTCGTCCGCGACATCCTCATCATCGGACTCTACTACCGCCTCGCTACACTTCCTTTTCCCATCCTGTCGCGAAGCACGAACCATTGCTTCTTCCTCATCGACACCCGCGGACTTGGCGGCCTCAGCCTCAGCGGTCTTGCGCGCGGCTTCTTCAGTAGCCTGGCGAGCCTTCTTCTCTTCGATAGCCTTCAGGGCCGCGGTGAAACGGTCGAAAGCCGCGTTGGCAGTATTGCCGCTAGCCACCTCCGCCTCAGAAAAATCAAAGGGGAGGCCCTTGGCAAGCCTGGCCGCGGAACAAGCGGATAAATCACTCTATGGAAAGGTTAGCAATCGCATCACGAAAGGAGGAGTCGCCGCAACGTACCGATAAGACCTTCCATTGCCACAACCACTGAATCCTATCCTCCACTGCCTCGCCCGTCTCATCGGGAATGCATGCGACAACGCCGTTCAAACGCATCTTGAGGGCCGCGAAATCACGTTGAAGTTTGTCGACTTCAGGATCGACGGGAGCGACGGACGCAGAAGCGAAGTTAAAAGGCGCCATGATGAAGAATGATGAAGAGTGGAAGGAAGAAAGGAAGGATTAGATGTGGAGAATTTATAGGGATGAACAACGCGTCGACGCGTCCACACCATCCACCCGAACTCCGCAAAAGACTCCGCACTTCTTCGCTCCGACTATCCGGTCACACGGTCATGTGACGTTCTGACAAGAAAACTGCTAAGTCCATTCCGCACACAGGACTGACCGGGGACGGTCAGTATTTGAGTCCCCCGCAGATGTACCAAACATTCCGGCGCCAGCCTCACAATCGCCCATTATGCACGATCCGGAGCTCACCTGGTCAGGTATTCATGTCCACATTCATCCGGCCTATTCCGTCGACTCCCGTCCCTCCCGGACACCTAACGGATACGCAACCCGCGACGGATTCCCTCAATTGCCCCTTGTCCCTGTCCATCCATGTCCATCCATCCCCATTGGTGCGTCATTTCTCTCCTATTATCACTCTGATCAAGCAGCAGACTGTTTTACATGTACATTCCCATACATGAGGCCGCTTACCGTCCCTTACATATTATCGCGCTACGGACTCGCCTATACTACTGTCGCTTAAACGGATCCCGAGTTCTTACAGATTAAGATAAATAGTTGCGTCGTACTCTGCCAATATCACTTCCCTTTTGCTCCCTTGGATTTATATCTAAGTCCGTGTGATCAACAAAGTCCCCTTAGTCTTCCGTGTTGCAACGGACCTCTTCCCGCACCTCGGACTACTTCCGGTAGCTCGTTACCTCGAGACCTTGACACCTCGACACCTTGACACCTTGACACCTTGATCATCGTACCGCTAGATATCCGTTCCTTGCGAACTATCTTCCATCCGGACACTCCTTTCCCTTTCAACCGGACTTCACCTGCGTGTCCGCCGCTCAGATCTTAAGCCCGTCGGATTGATTCCTTCGCATTTATCGCAAAGACTTCCTTCAGTAGCAATCCCCTTGGGACGAGCTATTACACTTGCACTCATACGGATCGGTAGTCTACTCTAACAGGCTACACGGAATCACTTTCACTCATCGCTACATCTGCCCGTTCCTTCCTTATCCTTACCTATTTCCCTCGCAGTTAACTCAACTTTTCCCCTCGCAGTTTCCTGCTACACTACCTCTACCTTCCACCAGCTCTCCTTTAGTGCAGTCCACGATCCAAGGGCATAGACTCACACACATTTTCCAGTCTCAACCCACATCAATGCCACTCCGGCCCATTCGTGTCGCAGTTCTTCGCTCACATACTACTGTGAGTGATCAATGCAGTCCGATGTTCTGATGCTGAGTGCTTGTAATGTGTAGCATACATCCGACGACATTCATGTTTTAGTACTAAGGACGGACGCCGGACATCGTCTTCTCGCACAATTCCGAAGGACGCAGAACACTAGGGATCTCGACCAATCTATAAGGCACTTTGAACGTGCGGTTGATCTTTGCGTCATAGATCATCCATGCTGCTCTGCAGCACTGTTCAATCTAGCTTCCGTGAAGTTTGTTAATTGCCAAGTTAATGGACTGTACCTCGACCACAACATCCCCACCTCTCTTTTTCAACACACCTTTGACTTGCGTCTGACTGGTCATCCTGACCGACCGATCACTCAACTCTGTCTCGCCATTGCTCTGCTGTCCCGCTTCACGAGCTCGACGCTTACATGTCCGCGACACAATGTCATGAAGGATTTTCCAGGTACACTTGCCGTGGATGCTGCGTCATGTGCACTTTGTAGCGGTGATGTGTGTCGCGCTGTCGAGTTGTTAGACTTACACCTTACTGACAGACTCATTCCCACCTCCTGGTCTTAAGTTCGTTGTTAGCACTACAATTGCTTGCTGCTGAAGATGTTCGAGGCACTTGAGCTCTGAAAATGAGCATGGCATAGCGTATGATTTTTTTTGTATTTTATACTAATTAAAATGAGAAAATTGATGGTTCGAACCGGTTCTGAACCTGAACTGGACCTTATGAATGGTCTGGTCCAGGGTTCGCCTCCTGCGCTGAACTGGACCGAAGGTTCAGTTCTGGGTTCGACAAAACACCCCCAAGAACTGGACCGAACCGGACTTCGGCAGCACTATCTTTACCGCGCCGTTCACTCGAACAGGCGCCCTGAACCAGCACTATGGCCTCAGAACTAAGACTACCTCCCGGATTTACCTGGGACGACGAGAAACAAGAACCAATCTTCACCAACGAAGACGGAAGGCAGTGGACTATCTCCGACTGGAGTAACCACAAGAAAGAACACGCACCCGAAGGACACACCTGGAACTTTTGGACCCAGACCTACGAACCATCCCAGAAACCCACATCCCCAGACGACGACATGCCCAAAGAAATCGGCACTCCTCCCGCGCCCTTCAATGGCGACACCAGAACCGCTCAAGGATTGGCTCTTCAGCTCGACGCCTACCTTGACATGAACGATGAAATCTATAACTCCGACAAGAAGAAAGTCATTTTCGCTTTGAGTTGCATGACCAAAGGCGAAGCAGCTAAGTGGGCCGAAGGCCATCTCAAAGCAGCAGCCGCTGTGAAGAGTTACGGAACTTACCTAGAATACGTCGAGAAGTTCAAGGGGACTTTCTTCCCCAAGAACAGCGCCCAAACCGCCATTAGGCGTATCTCCACATTGAAGCAAACCGGCAGCGTCACTGCCTACGCATCCCTATTCCGCACCATCATCGCCGATACCGGCATCGAAGAAGAAATCACCCGAACCATGTTCTTCCGCAATGGACTAAAGCGTGAGATTACCACCGCTATCCTTGCATTCGACACCACTCCCACCGACCTCGCAGGTTGGCTTGACAAGGCTCTCGAAATCGAGGTGCGCAGGACACTTATTGCGCCACCTGTCTTCACCAAGAACAGAGACCCCTACGTGATGGATATTGACAGGGCGGAGGTAGGAGAAGATGACGATGGTGAGACGACGAGGAAGACCCGCAAGACGTACCTGACGCCTCAAGAACGCGAGCGCAGGAAGAAGAACGGCCTCTGCTTCAAATGCGGCAAGAAAGGCCTCATCAAAGACTGCCCGAACCACCCCACGGTGACGGCAGCGAAGAAGACTTCCGTCAAGGACGACGACGAAGAATACCGCGAATTCCAAGAGTGGAAGGCGTTCAAAGCCCGCCAGATGAAGAAAGGCAAGGGTAAGAAAGAAGAAAGTAGCGATGAGGAGGATTTTTAGAATGGGGATCCGCACCGGTGTCAGACACCCCTAGAATAGGACTCTTAGTACAATCGATTGGCGACTCGAAATCTATTCGTATTCCGTTAACCATTGAATCATCTAGGACCAACAAAACCACCGAAGCAAGCACGCTAATAGATAGCGGCGCAGAAGGGGAGTTCATTGATTGGCAATTCGTCCGAAGAAACTCCATCAAGACTCACTTTCTCGATAAGCCCATACCCGTACGCAATGTGGATGGCACGCTCAATAAAAATGGAAAAATCACACGGTACTGTAATCTATCCTTTTCCGTTCGCAATCTTCCCATGAAGACGCGTTTCCTTGTAACCTCTTTAGGAGGAGAGGACGCTATTCTGGGAATGACTTGGCTGAAGAAAGAAAATCCAGATATAGATTGGACCGCCGAAGAAGTACATCTTCACGAGCGCAACATAGCCGCTACCAAGACTAGCGAAGAAGACGTCTTTTACGACGCATTAGAACCAGAAGAAGAAGACGTCTTCCATGACGCAATGGAAAGTATTCCAGAAAACCCATTCTCTCATAACAACCTCCCTAACCTCCTAGATCTTGACGATGACGATGAAGTAGTCGTGTCGGTAAGAAAAACCGACAACATCTCCCAAACCCTCGCCCAGGACGCTGCTAAACCCAAGAAATCCTTCGAAGAACTCGTTCCACCAGAGTTCCAGAAGTATAAAGACGTATTCGGTGACGTAGCTAACGGAACTCTCCCACCAGAACGCAAATTTGATCACAAAATCGACCTCAAGGATTCCTTCGAACCACGGAAATGCAAAATCTATCCGCTTAACACCAAAGAAGAGAAGGCCATGAACGATTTCATCGACGAACATCTTGCTAAAGGTACCATCCGACCCTCTGAATCTCCGCAATCATCACCCTTCTTCTTCGTCAGCAAGAAAGACGGATCTCTCCGGCCATGCCAAGACTATCGTTATCTGAACGAACACACGGTTAAAAATAACTACCCATTACCGCTGATCTCAGATTTGATAGACAAACTCAAAGACGCCCAGATCTTCACCAAGATGGATATCCGATGGGGATATAACAATGTACGTATGAAAGACTCCGACTGTTGGAAAGCGGCATTCGCCACAGCCAGAGGACTCTTTGAACCATTGGTAATGTTTTTCGGCATGTGCAACTCGCCGGCCACCTTCCAGTCTATGATGAACGAACTGTTCGGAGACATGATCCAGGAAGGACGGATAATCATCTACATGGACGACATACTAATCTTCTCCAAGGACTTCGAAACCCATCAGATTTGTACCCATAAGGTACTTCAACGACTCCACGATAACTTCCTCCACCTCAAACCCGAAAAATGCACCTTCAACGTAAAAGAAATCGACTACCTCGGCATGATCATCAAACCCGGCTCCGTCGCCATGGACCCAATAAAGCTTAATGGTATATCTGATTGGAAGACTCCCACGAAAGTCAAGGAAGTCCGATCATTCCTCGGATTCGCTAACTTCTACCGTCGCTTCATCGCTAACTACTCATCCATCGCATGACCCCTTATAGATCTAACCAAGAAAGACGAACCGTTCTCATGGACCCCGGAACGCGAACACGCCTTTCTCAGGCTCAAAGAAATCTTCACGTCATCCCCTATTCTCCAAATACCCGACAAAAACCTTCCCTTTGCAATCGCAACCGATGCCTCCCTCTACGCAACTGGGGGAGTTCTCCTTCAGAAAGATTCTAACGGCAGCTGGCTCCCCTGCTCATTCCTTTCCCAATCCTTTAA